GCTAATTTTTTCTATATATTTTTAGTTGATCAATTAATTTATTTCTATTTTTAGTAGAGAGATGGGGTCTTGTTTTTGCTCAGGATGGTTTCGAACTCCTGACCTTAAGTGATCCTCCCGCCTCCGCCTCCCAGAGTGCTAGGATTACAGGTGTGAGCCACCAGGCCAGGCCTGTGCATCCACTCTTAATTCACCACCCCAACCTCCAGGCCACCCTCTCCACATACCAAGATCCCTGACCAAAGAGTCCAATAAGTAGCCTGGAAAAATGTCTATTACTGGAGACTATAAGGGAGATATTCCTTTCCTCATACCCTGGAAATGTGCAAAACTATGGATGATAATAAAAAAACAATACTTTCAAAATTCAGATGAAAGATCACTTTTTCTATTGTTTGTCCTACTTAATAGATGAGTAAATCATGAATTATTTTATTCATGATTTTTAAAGTTTTAATATATTACATTAATATATTACATATATGAATATATTAATTATTGTTTAAAATTTTTCATGGCTTCTCACTGTATCTGAAAGAAAACCCAAAGTATTAGGCTGACTTCTCTGGTCTCATCTTTTTCCATTCTATGCTTTCACTACTCTCCAGTCACATTAGCCTTTCGTCTATATCTTAAACATGTCAAGATTTTTCTGTCTTGGGCCTTTAAAATTATTGTTTTATCTGCTTCATACACTCTTCTCCAAGATTTCTTATCATTCACCTGATAACTCAGAGAGCCTTTGCTAATAAATCAACGTATAAGCATCCCTCTAGTCAATGTCCTATTTGGTCTTTGTCATTGCACACCTGCACCTAAAGTGTGTTTATTTCCTTGGCTACATGTTTATTCTCTCTTTTCCCTGGCTAGAGTATGAGCTCCTTAGGATAGGAACTCTGTTCCACTAATGCCAATAATTAGAATAGTGTCTGACACATCGTATGTGTCAGGTATTTATTTTCTCACTAATTGTTGTTCACCACAACCCTACCATCACCCTCATATTTCCTACCTCCACTACTACCTTACCATCACCCTCCACAGTTATTTTCATGATTGTACTGAAAATCATCCAATAAGTGGCAGCACCAAGATGAAAATGCAGACTGAATCTGGAGTATTGACTATTAAAGATAATATCATTGTACATTTTTAAGAGTTATACAAGGGAAACAGGGTGAATATTGTAGTTTTTGTTGTAGCACTTTTCAGTTGAATTTTCTGCAATGATGGCAATGTTCTATAAATCCAGCTATCCAATGCAGTGGCCATTATCACATGTGGTTATTGAGCACTTGAAAAGTAGCTGGTGAAACCAAGTTGAAATTCTGTTCTTTGTGTATAGATTCCCATAGATGTAAAGATTAGAGCATCTGAAAGCAAAGGGGCTAATGAATGTTCCTTAAAGATAACCAGTATTCTCTGGAGTAATAATAATAAAGATTAAAGAAATGCAATAAGCAAATTAGGTAACCAACCACTTAAACATTAAATGCTGACTTTGGGTTTGTGGAAATCATTGGCTACATTTGGACCCAGAGGAGTTCCTTCCTCTTCTTCTACTTTGACCACCTTTAATTACTAGAATCCAGATTATAAGGGCTATGAGAATTTCTATAACCTGGGTTTTTAGATTACAAAATAGGATTAGATTGTCAAGATCATTAGTCTATTTTTATGTAGACACCATAAGAGGATGCTTAATTATTCTATATTGTTGGAGAAAGGTAAGTGAACATTTTAAAATATATAAGACAACAGAAAGGAGGAATCTTTATTTCTAAATAATTAGATGAAAATTATAAAATAATTTCTATTCAGAGTTTGCTTCTAATAAAAGTATTTAAGCAAATACGTGCAATTTGTTATTAGTAAAAAAATAGACATTCTTGGGAATTTTTTTCTTATACAATTACTTTGAATCAACCTTTAGTAGAATAGTATGTATTCACGCTAATGTGGTCTTCATATCCCACATCCAGTAGGTGGCACTCTTTGTTTTGAATTAAGAACCAAATAGACTAAAAGGATGGATGGATAGATGAGCCGAACAAACCCCATCACTCTATAAAATGCACTGTACATTTCAGCTAAATAGTGAAATGAATATCTGGGTCTTCTAACCCAGTAGATATTCCAAGACTTCAGGCTGAAACAGTGCCCTATTGTTGACAATAATATAGGTCACTGGGACCTCTGGGAAAAAGGAATAACTAGGTTGTCTGATCTGACAGGAAATTATTGCAGAGCTCTGTGGTGTTTCAGTTCCTCAGGCCATAGGACAAATTTGTAGCTGACCTGGGAGTAGGTTCAAGAGTCAATATGATGCCAAAATATAAATTTTTTTATCAAACCTCTCCTGAAGCTGTAAGAAAATAACAGTGATTTAAGCTTTTCATCTCTTTTCATTTTCCATTTTTAATGTCATGGAGACTTGACAATAAGCAGCAAAATGATAAAAATACATAAAGAGATAAAACATAACAAGGATTAAGTGCCACATATTGCCTTTTGAAGAGTTTAAAGCACAGCACATTTATGGATATCAATTTATACTGAGAGATGATATTTAATTTTTCAAAGTCTTAGCAAGTAACTTTAACAACATTTGAAATACATACAATTTGTTCTTTTCTGTTAGAAAGAAATCAACATTCTACCAATCTTTTCCTTCTTAGAATTTTCTTAGTCCCTACTTCAAAATTGGTTGGGCTATAGTTTATCTTTTGGAGGGAGAGGTGCATATTTATTTCCACCTCTATAGGGTTATTTTTTTTTTTCTCTTAACACTCCAGATTTCATATTTGTTTCATTGTGTCTATCTCATTCCTAAAACATTCTTTCTGGAATAAGATAAGGTAAAAATCAATAATTCAACCATTGTGAATAGATGGCCTACCAGGCTTTAATTCCCAACACATTGATCACACAAATCCCTCTCTTCGTGTACTTAGTTTTTTATTATTGTTCACTAGACCATGACTGTGAGTGCCCTCAGGCAAGAGATATGTTTTATGCACTTTTATTCTACCTTCAAGGCCTAGGATAAGGCTTACATATGCTAGTTATTCATGCAACATTTATTTAATGATTGAGCAAATTAATGAATTAATTAAATCAAATTTTACTTTCCTTTGGGTTTATACCATGTAGACCTTCTAAAATTTGTTTCTGTGATATATAGGAACTCATTTTCATACTTTGGTAACTAACATTTCTAATATTTCTATTTTTATTAACTCCAAAATTTTTCTTATAACACTAAATCCCTATGCTCTTAACTTTTTAAATAATCTATCCCTTCAATTACCAAAGGGGAAAAAAATCCAGCAAGTAAATAGATGCTTCATGTCAATTTTCATACATCTTGCTACTCTTTGCTGATATAAACTGGGCTTCAAGTGTGTGCTGGGTGAAGAAAAAAGAGTAAACAGGGATTTATTGTCTATCCGAATAGCCATGGACTGCAGGGCATGCCGCACTGTCAGAGAGACTCAAATTATGTGGTAAGCTCCATTCAGATAAAAATTTCTGTAAATACAAAACTGAATTTTTAAAGCTACTTCCCAAATGTCCAAAGCAAATTGATAAATTATGTTATAAGCTCAAGAACTTATTTTATTATTTATGAAATTTCATGTTTCACTAAATTTTCTTTCATAAACAGTATTAATCTGTGTGGTTTAACCTCAAAAACTGCCTTTCTATAAGTTTAGTATTGAGAATTATTACCATCAGGAATCTTTCTTTTTTGCCATCTATATTCAATCTTTATATAAGGTAAGTTTATGCCTGCTTGGCCTCTACAGGTAGAAAAGTATGATTTCCTGTAGACATCACTCCAGTTTTGAGTTTATAGAAAGGAATCCATCCATCCCTGTAGTAAGATTTTTAGTTCAGTTTTTTTATTCATAAAAGATTGATATTATTTAATATTCTCTTAGTCGTTTGGGGCACTTTTAGTAATTAGCGCCAAATTCTAGTCTTGATACTTGCATCAGGACCCTGTGTTAGTTTTTAAAATAACCTGAGTGTTCGTTTCTACATCTTGATCTGTCTCCAGATTACTAAATTTCTCCCTACTTCAGTTTTAATATAAAGAAATTGATGAACACAATTTGAAGGGGATAGTTTAAGTACTTATGACACATATAGAGTATATCTGGGAAATATTATGAGTTAATAGCACCATATTTATTGAATTTCTACTATTAATATTATTCAAATCAATGGCTTTTATTGTCATTTGTATAGAGATAATTAATGCAAATCTCTTTTCTGGATTCCAGTCTTCCCAAAGTTTCTGAGATTCTTATATACATTTGTTCCCATTGTATTCATCTTTCTGGGGAGTTGTGGGACACACAGATTTGGAACAGTTGAGTAAAGTATTTACACTTGTTAACATAGATGTATTAAGCAATGGCAAACATATAGACATAGAAACAATTTTTCTGGACAATTTGTAATGATATATTAAGGAAAAATATATAAATATATTCAAATAAAAATATTTTTGTTGAAATAGATTACTAATATTAACAGGCTCCCTCCTCTTTCTTTATTGCTTTACAACAAGAAAATTATATATATTAATGACAACATTGTGCAAACGTCACTGGGTATAAAAGGATAGATCCAAAAAATAGTACTATTAATGAAGATTCATTTATTTTTAAATGAATTTTTAAAATGTTTTTATTTTTAAAGTGATTTATTTTTAGTGTTTTATTTTTAAAATGTTTTAATTACAATGCTGAGGTTATTAGCTCAGTGCTTTTAGGTTGATTTAGTAACTTTGTCACTGTTAGTTCACATGTAATCTAAACTCCCCTCTATGCTGCAATAATAATCAGAATAATAATTTTGACAAGCGATTTGAGGAAAAGTTATAAGGTAGATTTTTGCTCATTTTATCCCTGAGCGAACAGTAATAAAGAGAAATATTTTTATAAACCATAAACTGGTTTTATTTATACATAAAATACTTACTCATTGGTTTAAAGGTTTTAGGTAGAAGTCAATATGGAAAGTAGCATAATTTTAAGTCACTGCAAATATTCATGTACCTGTTAACATAAATATGAATTATAGTTTTACAGGAGTTATATTTTATATGTCTCACATAACTTGTTTAACGTATATTGACACGCTGTCAGAAGACACTGGGTTGTTTCTGGAATCTATCACATTTTGGTTGTGTGACCTTCAATAATTTCTTAATATTTGAGTCTTAATTCCTTATAGAATAGAAATTATAATGTCTTTCTTAAAACTTTTACAAATATTAAATGGGAGCACAGACACAAAATTGATTAATTTTGAGCCCATGTGTAAAATAAATGTTAATTTCCTCTCCACCAGTCTGTGTTTGAATTTAATACATTTCTGTACATATCTCAATAAAATGTCAAAATGTAAAACATAAAAATAATAGTACCTGCTTCGTAGGATTGTTGTAAAACAATGTGCAAACATGGATTCAATAAATAATAATTGATTAATTTATTATTAATATTGTTACAGAAAGGTCAATCTCTGTATGTTATACAGTGGGACTTTGTTATATTTATATATAAATCAATCAAATAAAATACCCTGAAAGAAAACTGCTACATAGAAAAAAAACTGGATATACTAGAATTTATCTAAATAGAGTTCTGATCCATGACATCATAGTTAAATAAGAAGAATAGGATCATTTTTAGTAATTTATAAGTGCTTATTGATATTTGTAATTGTCAAAGATAATAGGGATATAGTATAAATAATCTAGTTGTCAGTTGTCTTGCATACCTTTTTCCCATCTGCTTCATCTCATAAACTATATTTTGAAACAAATTTATTTCTCTGTTTTTTTTTCAACTCAATAATGCCACAGATTAGGCACTGATTATTTGTGATGCAAAAAACTACCTGGCAGAGTTATATATTCCATTACTATCCCTGCCTGGGAAAGAAAATGAAAAAGTATTAATTGTTTGATTTAAAATTATTTCTAGAAAAAGAGCTACTGTTTTTCATACATTTGCACTTAGATCTTAGATTTTTTTTTTTTAAAGGCTTGTTTTTCAAAGTCAGAGGTTTTGAGAAAGCTTATTTCAAATAATGATAGTAACTGAATAGTTCAGGCTTAGTAAAAATACCAGTTGTGAAAATATAGATTTATTCTCTAATATTCACAATCTAAAAAAAAAATTATGATATTTTTGTAAAGTATAGCCCACTGAAAATCTAACTTACAGTGTGGTTTGTATTTTGCAGATTGATTATAGTTGATGAAAATAGATTTCATTTTTTTAACCAATGTGACCCAAATTGAGACAGAAACAGCAGAAACAATCCCAACTGGTATATATATAACCACACAGAAGATATTAGATTTTGAAACTCAACTTTTAAGATTATTTCAAGCACAAAGGTGTGATTATCAAAAAACATAATACAAAATGTTGCTTCTAGGTAGTTAAGTCAAGTCTCAGTACTAGAATAGAAAAAGAAATTTTTGCCATAATCAACTCTAACACCTTGTTAATATGGCAATTCCCAGAAAACTCAATATTCCAAGCACAGTGACATTCTTAAAAAATCTCTTAATCAACTATCACAGTACTAGTTCTATTTTATAAGCATCCATATTCATTATTTAGAAAACAATTAAAGGTCTTATTGAGATAGTTTTTTTTATTATTTATGTTTTATTTTTAATTAAATTTGAAGTTCTTAATGAACTTTATTTTAAATAACAGGAAAGATCTAAAATGATGCAAATCAAACTAACGAGTTATTATTTCTTCTACAGCATTACTTTTGTTTGTAATGAATTCTCACTATCCATATAAGGGTGTTGATGTTAAAAACTGTTAATTCAATAGGTGTTTCCTTATTTTATAGGAAACATTGTTAGAAAACATATAAATGTTCTCAGTCATTTGTATACTTGGACCTGACGTATATTTTAAAGAATTGAACTCAGATTTTGCAAATTTGTATTACAGCACAGGTGGTGGGATAAAAGCTCAGAAAAAAAGGGCTTAATGTGCTCTACATTCTAGAAATATTACTAATCAAAATCAAATTAATTCCAGAATATTACAAGTACTAATTTGACCATTTTGGTCAAACTTGGGCTAAAAAAGTCCATAAACCACATGCAGGACTGATTGAGTTGTTAGGGCTGAGAACATGATACCCCAACGTATGTGCTTTGGCATGCTGAGTACTTTGAACTAAAGGAGATTGGAACAGAAGCAAGAAGCAAGAAGTTCTCTCGTTCTCCTTTCTCCTTCCTCCATTACCGCCCACCCCCTCCCCCCATGAAGCAGACCATGAAAACTAGAATTCCTTTTCCCCAAAGCAGATCATAGAAATTAGAACTCTTTTCCCCCAAAAGAAAGCTGTACAATCTAGAAATGTCACTCTGGACATTCTGCCTTCTCCCCTGAAGAACCTCATGTGACAAGTGCCTGCCTTATACCCAAAGAGAGGAATGCTTCACAGAGGCCAAGAAGTGTCTGAACACATAGGCCTTGTTGGGTTCCCCCCTCAGTCTATAATCATTAGTTCACACCTTTTTTATCCAATCACATTTCTACATATTATTCATTGAATTTAAGCATAAAAACACACAGTTTTCCCTGGTCTTTGAGTCTTCATTCGGAAGGCTCTCATGTCACCTAAAACTTTGATAACATGGATTTGTAATGCTTTTCTTTTAATCTGTCTTTTGTTATAGGGCTGTCATCCACGGACCTTCAAATGGGTGGGAAAAAGATATGACATCTTTTTACCCCTCAGAGTCTTCAAAAAGAAAATATGGCTAATCATAACTTCCTTTGAGTTAGTCTCTAAATAATATACTAAATGTTGGTTATCACATTTAAAATACAATTAAGGAATAAAATTCTTCTGTATGTATTATATAAGTTTAAATGACTCTATTATATATTACTTCATTGCCTCCATTTTCTGGGTTTTATTGTGAAAAAATCTGGAGTAAAATGAACAGAATAATTTCTAAAACGCACTGTAATTAAAATAATTGAATAAGAATGCTAATGTAATATTTCAGGAAATGATTCATTATCAATTCATCTTAACTTGGGTCTTCCTGCTCTTTCTTTTTTAAAAAATATTTTTTGCTCATTAATAATTATATTTTAAACCAAAGTATTATTGTTATACAAGTTAATTTAATTTTAATTTTATTTTCATTTTTTGCTTTAATTTTATATTGGGTAATTCATTGTTAGCAGTTCTGAGAAAATATCAGATGTGAGAGATTCAAACAAGCTATTGATCAAAATGAAGCTTTTGGATTATCTCTGATTCCAGAAATCTTTTCTTTCTCAGAATTAGTTTCCTTTTTTCACCCCTGTAGACCACAAATTGGGAGTTTACTATAATAGATATTGATGTTTATACAGCATCTTCCATTTTTCGAAGAGCATAAGGATATATTTTCTCTTTATAAAGATGGATTGAATTCATCTTTTTGAATTATCTAGCTCAGGCTATTTCAAAACCAGAAGATCCTTTCAAACTTCTTACAATAACTCTTATTATTCATGAAATCATAAGCTCAAAAACTGGGAGAACTAACATTGACCCTGTTATTCCCTGTAGGTAGAAATAGTGGTCTTTAGCAATAACCGCCCCCCCAAAAAAGCTATCATAAAACAAAGGCATACATCTGTTTTGCCTGACAGATTAGCAAAGCTATAGGCTTTGATATCTTGGTTTAGTCTGAGTATGCAAAAGGGGAGAAGATTCTAATTCACTAATTCACTATGAATAGAAGTATAAATTCATCTCAGGACAATTTTGGCAATATATACATATATATATAGTATATATATAGTATATATATGCATAAGGTTTGTATTATCATAGAAGCAAAGAATGGAAACAAAACATCTATTTAGACAGGTTTGGAAAACTACACTATAATTTAAAATAAAAAGGTAAATCATCTATATATTCCCTCTTATGAAAGTACCTTCATGATATACTGAAAAATAAACAGATCAAAGAATATATTTTATTCTGAAAATATACCCACCAAAATCTTAATAGTGGTATACTGGATAATGATATTCCATATAATTTTAGTTTTATCTTTTTCTCACATGTCTATAATTATCCTTATTTAAGTAATTTAACAAAGGAAATAGTATATATTATAAAAATGAAGAAACTTGAAATTTCTCATGAAGTCCTGATAGTTGTGATACTTTTCAAGAAGCCATGATAATTTCATACAAAATAGTATGCTTTCTACAAATTGCTCAAGTTTTACAACTTTTTTTAGGTAGACTGATGAATTTGTTAGTGAAAACAAAAATCCTTCCCTTCATCCTCAATCCAATCCTTATTGAAAACTTCCAAGTGTGACAGTTAAATGTGAGAGCATAGGGAGAATTTCTGACATTATTTGCTCATTCTACTTTTTCAGAAAGACAATAAACCTCTAGTTCCCATCATTTACAGTGTACTGAATTTATTGCTTTGTAATTACTAATTGACCCTTTTTATATTTATGGGCATGGGTATGAACAGGTTTATAACAGCTTTAGATTGAGCTCTTCAAAATCTGGATCCTATTCAAATAGCCACAGTAGCATATTATTTGATGACTTTCAAGTTTTCATTATATAAGCACCAAAAATAAAAATGGATTATAGCTATTCTTGGATATTTGGAGAACTTCCAGAAATTAAAAAAAAAACAGGTTTCTCTGCTATTTTGAGGTGGCATTTAGCCTTTTACGTTTGTTTACAGATTAAGCTGAGAACATAACAAAAATGATGGACCCTCTTCCCAGAAAAATGTTCTTATGTACATATAAAAACTATTTTTATATACAATTTCAAATGTCCACGGAGTCCCCTGAAACACATGTTTTTGATAGATAAATTAGAATCAATGGGTGAAACTAAGAGAGAAAGTGAATTCATTTCTACATTAGAAGGAGTTTCTAACAAAGCAGAATTTCCAACAGTGTGCATTGCTTCTTTGAGTCTTTGATGAGGATGATTAAGTATACTTTAGAAGCAGATTCAGTGAAATG